CAATAAACATCATTTTGAAAAAAAAAAAAGATAACGTCATTCATCGTATGGAGAACAGAATCCTGGGTAGGGGACTATATGTCGCCGAAAGTGGGAGGCCCTGCCGGACATCTGCAACAAATACACATTCCAATACATGCACATGCACAGCTTGAGTATCTGCTGCAATGTCCGCGCGACCCTCCCACTTTCGGCGACATTGGACCTCCACCCCAGAATTCTCACTTAGCCTTGGAAGCCCACAAAGGGAGGCAATTCAAGATAGACGGATTTTAAAAATACTGATTGTGTGGGCTTCAGTAAATCACTGCCAAAGCAACAGCGCGCAGGAATCACTCAACGAAGGAATCAGTCTAAACTTGTGCCCACTACCGTACTCGAGCGCGCTGACTAGTCCTCTTAGGAGGAACACGGTAGCGGGCGAAAGAACGGAGTTTCTCGGCCACGATTGGAACAAAGGGCAGTGGGTAACTTAGGATGCGACAAGAAGTTTTCGAGTGAAATTAATTACACATGTGATAAAATCCGCTTGGACACTGTTTAGATGGAGTCTTCGTATATAGAGTACCCACAGGCGTCTTGCATTATTAAGCAGTTTTTCCAAGCAAAGCAGCACATAGAAAAGAAAAACAGGGACATTCAGAGACATGTCAAATTTTTCATAAGCGATGAGAATATATAGCTGCACATAAACATTAACCACTGCATCGCATGGCAACGCTCATCGTTGAAGGATTAACGGGAGGCATGGAATCGAGCAGATGTCATAAAGAAAAAGGTTAATTGGTCTCTCATAAAACCATGCGATCCTATTGTTTTTCTTTTCATGTGCGAGAACAAATCACAAAAGATACCGTATGATACAGTAAGCGCAATAGCATACGTCAGCAAATACATCTTTTCTTCGGAAAGTTTAGACGATTAACACATGGATGGAGATGATTTTAGCTAGAAGAAAAGAGAAATCCAATGATAAATGTGCCAAAAGCAAACAAAGTTTGCAGATTTTATATACGGTACAACTAGAAAAAAGAGTTAGGAATGGTCACTGAGTCATTAAAGCAGACAAATCGGAGTTTTTATGAAGATGAATTCATGTCAAGTCCCGTGCTTTTGCAAAAATCCGCTTCAAAAGCTTATATTTCGTCATCAGATCGTTGATTCCCTAATATTAATTCCATTTTCAGTGAAAATATTGTTATCACGAAAATCTGAAGAGCGAAAGGACAAAGTTCTATATTTCACACATAGACCAAAGAAAACCAGGCTTCGCTCTATGCTTTTTGGACTTTGCAAATGAAGACTACCTTTGCAATGACCTTCTATTCACACGAGATAATCAACCTTCTCGTCCATTCATCTCTTGAACTTGATTTTCTGACTTCTGCTGCAAACGCTTGCAATGACTAACAATGAAAGTGCACATCAAACTGTCAGCAGTACTGTAAAGAGTTGCAAACTGAGGAAAATAGAAATAACCAGTTAGACGGCCCTCATCTATCATGACTAAGAAAAGCGACAGCTTAACAATCAAACGTCTTTTTTTTTTGCGTGCAACATCTGGCTCCTCCAACGTTCAGCAGAAAAGTGCACCATTTTTCGGAGCGACAAAAAAGACAATATTAGCGCGAGAGCAGCGCAGTTTCAGCGGGAGGGGGGCATTTTACAGAGTGCACACTTGCTGTTTTTAAAAGGCTTCCATTAGCATTCGCTGGAAAAATGTAAAGGCAAAATATCATCAATGTGCAAGAAGTGCATCACTCAAACAATTTCCTAACATCTGTCAGCTAACGGTGCTCTCCGAGGTTCAGAAAATCATCCGTTTCGCATGCGCCACGATTAACGGTTATAGTCAAAAGCCATAACAGGAACTCTATGATACGCTCAATGCACAAGTGTCAAAAAAGTCTGGGTTGTATACTTACGCGCAATTGCACCTCATCAGCCTTATAGTAAGGAAAGCGTTATAAGACTGCTGCCAGATGGTTTGGGCTACATTATATTGGCACTTGTGTCAAAACGGTAAGATTATTTTACTTGAATTGACACTTCTCGGACCTGCCAACTTATGGGCAGTGGATCGGAAATGGACCCTTCGGATTTTGGTGAGGTTAAGTAACATATCCCCCAAGTACACTGTAGCTCAAACCCCAGCTCATGCACTAAGTCCTGAAAAATGCCCTTCAAAACTTCACCGACGCGCACTTCCATTGAATTTGCAGGTGGCGTTTGGACTACAGTGTACTTGGGTAGTCTACTACCTAACAGCTAACACCACCAAAATCCGAGAAGGGTCCATTTTGCCTATCCCTTGCCTTGAAGCAACTTCTTAAAAGAAAGATTCTTTTCGCCGATACTTATATACAAAAGAAACCTCTGCATTAGGAACGGGCAGATCTTGAAAAACCGATTGGCTGAGCTGATTAGCTCAGGATGACTCATGTCAGCTAATCCAAGAGGTCTAGAAACGTAAGTGGATCGAAAATCCGATGAGTCACTGCCTTTCTAGCTTTGCACAATATGGTACAGCTTGAGAACATTTAGCAAACATTATTTGAAAGAAAAACTCAGTGAAGGATGTGCAAAAATGTGCAGATATCTCCACAGTTCAAAAGAGCTCCGCGAAAAAACCCTGCAAAGCGAGATGAAAAGATTAAAAGCAAAAAATCTTGCCTTGCTGAAGATAACGAGTTAAACGCAAGATCATCCAAAAAAACCGCCTCAAAAAAGAAGAACGAGTAGCAGTGATTTGTGGTGCAGAGTAACTGCTACGATCGTTTTTGAGCGTATGACGCTATCTGCCAAACAAATTTCTTCCTAAGTATACTATTTGGCATCAAACATCGAGGAAAGGCACAAAAACTTCGACGGACTTCTGAGTTATAAGCATCAAACATTCTTTCATTAGATTTGATACACCAATGATAAAAATATACTACGATCATTTTAGAGGCTTCTTCGCGAACGATTCCAAGAATATGCCTAATAAATCAGGCTTCAGCAACTTACAAAACATCATTAGAGACTGGTACCTATTATTTTCAATGGAACCTGTGCTAAAAATGCATCATTCGTAATTATATGAGCAAAAACTTTCACTAAACTCATCCACTGTCACTTACAGACTTAAAATTCATTTCTGTAAAACTAGCCTCCAAAGATAAATTGAAGGTGGCTTATCTTATTACCTGACATACCATTTGCGCAAGCTACAAGAGCAATCTATTTGCAAGATAAAATAGCGAATGCTAGAATTCAGAGACCATGACCAGATGAGAAATGAGAGGCAGTCAGCCATCCATCACAGCTGTGATTGCGCCGATGCAATCATAAAAAACTATTCCAAAACAGAAAGCAGAATATCGAGCAGAATAGCGCTATTCACGATGATCAATCATTCTTTGATGTCTATAGAGACCACAATGACATTTGATTGAAAAGCTTCCAACATCAGAAATTTACCTCTGCAAAACATCATTCTTTGAATCGCAATGAGTTGAGATAACCAAGAACAAGTGCTGCTCACAACAGCAATGCGTAATTCAAAAGTTCACAAAACTTTTTGAAATGCAGCGGCAGATTACCGAGCTAATTTAATGTATAGCTCTACCACGACTACCTCATCTGTCAAAATCGAAGTAACCGTAAAACTTGGACCGTACTAGTTCATCATGAACTTATTTTTTCTCTCCTTACACAAATGCCGGCAAAGAGCACTTGATGAATAGGTACGTATAAGGAATGAGTTTCTGTATATCCCCTCTATGTACAATTACATCTATTACAGCAATCAATAGTACTGACAGATATAGAACTCAATGGTTACCAAAGTGATTATCAGATACCCATAGACGAGGCAAGACCTGTAGCTCGGGATTTCTTTTATGCATACTCACTAGGAGGTTTAGAGGCAGCGTCCAGGCAAATCTGGACCTATGGAGATTTAACGTGGAAAGTGATTTTGGGGCCTTAACTAAGGACTGCCCAAGCGGCAGCCGTGCTCTAACGGCTGAGATATGCGCCTTCAAACTGGACCCCAGGATCGTATTTCGCATGGATTCATGTCATAACCCATCAGTTTCGCGCGAGGATCCATGGATTGCGCCATGAATCCATGCAAAATACGATTCTGGGGTCCAGCTTCGAAGGGGATATCTCAGCCGTCAAAGCACTGCCTGAGCACTGCCGGTTGGGCAGTGGCTTAGTTGAGGCCCCAAAGTTACTATTGTGAGATCTCCATATGTCCAGATTTGCCTGGATGCTGCCTTTAAGCCGTGGACCGAGAGGAGACTCATTTGACTCATTCGTGACCGATGGATCCAACTCTGAACTCTCGCCCACTACCGTCTCGCGATGCTGATTGGTCCGCTCGGCAAGAGTAAATTTCCGAGGAATGATGGCGCCCTCGGCCGCGAATGACTACACAGCTACCTTAGGGCAGCTAGGGCAGTGGCTCAACAGGCCTCACAATCGCTAAGCACATAGCAAGTCCAAGAACGACCCGGCCTGGATACTGGCTTCGAGGTAGTGCGAGGTTTGCATCAAGTCTAATACTTAAGATGGAGTTGTGCTTCTCAGAAACTCCGACCATATTCAATGAACAAGTAAATCAGGTGAAGGTTCTAAGATGTAGCTGTGTAAAAAGTGGTAAACAATGAAGTTTTACAAATTCCATCTGAAATCAACTGCGTATTGAAAAAACAAGCTTTGGGTTTGAGCACGTCTTTTGACTTGAACTCACATACGAAAACAAGAACAGTCGAAGAACGTCAGCAGAAACGCGGTGAATGCGATGACGCTTATTTTGCATGGAAAAGACTCCAAATGCATTTGTGCTAGTTCAGAGTTGAAAAAGCAAGAAGAAAAAACTTTCAAGAAAGCTGAATGAGCATAGAGGAAGCAATTCATACAAGTGACGTTTCGATACTCGAATGGAAAGGAAGGCAGTAAAAGTCAAGTTGGTAAGTGAGGAAATGTGCCGTTCTGATCATAAGACTCACTTATCAACAACGGATCCTCGATCGACAACAGCGCTGCTTTCTTATCACCATCTCGACGTGCTTCCTTTGGGGTATATCGCATGTCAATGACCGAAATACCGACGGCATCGTAGTTCACCTCCTAGAATGAAGATGAACAGATTGAAGCAAGGAGTTGCACATACGCCTTTCTCATACAATACATAGCGTTGCGCGTATGAGAATGACTAAGTAAAGTAGGAAAGAACGTAATCGAAATTCAGACAACAGCATCACAGATACATAATTGAATTTTGGTGACTCTGATTCAGCATCTGCGAGCACCAGTATCAAGAAGTAAAGCATGTTTATAACCGAATAAGTCATTTCCCGTAAAAGCTTGAAAATTCATTATTTTGATGACGAAACAGCACAAAAAATCCTAATAATCACATACTAAATCTCGAATTACAAAACAATTATGTGCATGTGTACATATGTAAAAATGGTGCTTACACATGAGAATTTGAGATACGTCAGCTAAAAAAATTGCTTCGGGAAATACGCTTACGCAAGATGTTCAAAGGTTCCGACATTCCCGAATAACAAAAATTCCAAACAGTAAAACAAAATTTTCATTTTTTTTCATCGAATAACTAAAACTTGTGATTTAGCACGTCTGCGCATGTGGATCTCAAACAGAGTTGAAAATCTGAAAAAACAATTTACTGGAAGCCTAGCTATGTAACTTGCCGTGCTTTATGATGTTGAGAAATTTTAGTAGTCAGTACGACAAAGTATAGATGCAGTATGAACTTTTGAAAGGATTCTTATTCAGAATCAGCAATTTGAACCTTATGAAGTCTACAAAACCCAAGTCAAAACATTCTTTAGCTAAAACGATATGCAACTTTTTGTATGCTCTACTCCCCTCCTAAGCCAAAGTCATCTCGTTACAGTATGTTAATCTGCGGATATGCAATGCTATAGCAGCACTTAAGTTTGCAGGGTATTTCGCACTTTTGCAAGCGATAGGCAATATTGCACGTGGCGACCTAAGCTGAACACAAATGCAAGAAAGGCATTATCTAAGACAATTACTGTAGCCGGAAACAATCAATGAAGTGAAATGAACTTAGTGGATTCTACTCTCAGATAAAGGTTGTTGAATATACGAGAGGTTTCATGATATCATCCGGCTTTAAAAGGCAACAAAAAGAGAACGCCACCCATGTTATTTAGAACTTGGCATCAAAAAGTTTTAGTGTCTTCCCCTGATAAGCGTGAGAATAAAAGGAAAACATCGGAATTTTGCACAAAAAGAATTTAGACGATCATTCGGCTTATATACACACACAAAAAAAAGGAAATGCAGGATATTCTCGTCCTATATCTCACCAAGTGACCAAGTATGACAAAAAGCGTGAGAGCATAACATCGAGTAAAGCGAAAAGATATATAAAAGGAAAAATGTGATGCCGTACCTGAGCATAAACCTCAAAGAACCGCATAAGTAGCTCGCCAAGATTGACTTCAGGACTGTAAGGGTGCTTTCGTCGTACGGGCATGCCATAGTGCTGAAAACAAGAACTTCAAATAGATGTGGCTATTTGTGAGGCGGATTTGATTTGAATAATTGTAAAAAGCTGCCAGATTTGGTTCGAAACTGATCTCATTTCCAACATGACAAGAAATTTGAAAACGGGTGCTGAGTAGAGGAATGAGTACCGCGGTTGACACCACTTTCGCGGAGCACTGGTCCTCAAACGGTATGCTATACCGCGTGATAACTAGGAATCCGAGGGGCCGCACCTACTGGCGGTATTCCTTCCTCCAATCTTTCGTAAAAACAAGGAAGTTCGGATGTGGAGACTGCCTAGAGCGCTTATGAAGAACACAACCTACCGTATTCTGGTGGTTCACTTTAGCTCTGCGAAGAGTTCAACTACGAGAAAAACTGATTTCTGATGCTTGCTCTTCTAGCTTTTTACTGGAGGGAAACCAAAAAATGGAAAAAAGACGCCAACTCACGAAATCAAATGCTCAAGTACTCTCTAGCTTACCAAACTGAGAAAGCAGAGGAACACTGATACAGCGAACGCTAACTGGTGCCAAAATCAGAAGCCAACTGGGCAAATGCTGTGCATATAACGCGGTTGCTGAGAGAGATTGACAGGTACATAAAATATGAGAGACGAAAATCAGAAACCAAATTAGCAAATGCTGTATAATGCAGTTGAGAGAGACGGTATATACCCGGAAGATGAACAATGCCAAAACCATAAGTCAATGATCAAATGTGGTATAGCGCAGTTGGAAGGCCGGCGGATATACACAGAACATAAGAGAGAAGGAAATTCTAAGTAAATGCCAATTCTACTTCCCCATCTCAATGCAAATCTTTTCTGGTAGATTCTAAGAGTTCTGTAGTTGACAATATAGTTGTCCTTTTGAGTACACACAAAATTAGAACATTACCCATTACTTACAAGAAAATTATACTTGTGACAGTGGCCATTCGAAATGGGATGTAACCGGGATGCATCCAGAAATTCTGATCCAAAAACTGGCCTAGCTATGTGGGGAATGGTCTTACGAACGAACTGGGCATCTCCGAGTAGACGAAGTCATAGTGATGGTCTAGTTCACTTCTTGACGCTATGTTTCAATTTTATTTGATTTTGATTTTGACCCTGCGCGAAAGTGCGCTTTTCTTCAAGTAAACTCATTGCCAGTTAACTGTTTCGCAGTTTTACAAGGCAGTTTCCAAACAACTGTCGAATGAATACCTTACTATGAATGCCCATGCTCACCAAGTATTCTTGCCTTATTGAAAGCGACAGCTATTAAAAGCTTCCTAGAATTCAAAGGGCATCCAAAAAAGTTTAGATTTGATCGGAAAAAATTCTGTGCGCGTAAGAGGTGACGGTTCGAGAAATAACATTTTATGAAGGCCAAATGTTGTGGTCCGTTCATACGCCCTGCTTCAAAAGCTGATATATGTTGAGCTTGATTAACAAACAAAGGTCACGAAAGTGATTCACAGGAATTTGCTATATAAGAATGTTACGCACACACTATGTACTGTGAACCTCCAGCCTTTGATTGAAAAATTATTACAAAATCAAACCTTGTGTCCTAGATTACATACACACGGAGTTTATTAATCCGACCTTCTAGAACCCTACTTGCTCAAATCTGTACATCCCTCTAGATCGTATACCTAGTAGAGCTTTACGACAACAGCAGTGCCCAAAATGTAACTCGAGAACCTTTGACTGCAGAAACCCCTTTAAATACGTCGCTCACATCAGTCTAGATGGCAAGTAAACATGTTGTGACGTTAGGAAAAAACATAATAGTGGTCAAAAAAGTACCCGGCATTGTTGAGAATGGTAAAGACCCAAGTGCAAACTTGCGCAGTAGATTGCCATATTCGTACTGAAAAACTACGCTTTGTGAATAATTTTCGGGCGGTGAAGCCGGGACTGGATTTCTTGTAAGGAATGCTCAGCATCACGGCATAGGGTAACTTTTTTCCAAAGATGAAAAATCCCACTCAGAGTTAGTCTATGCGATCTACGCTCAGCTCCTAGTAGTGATTAAATCTGTCTAGCCGCTTCATAAAGGTACAAAGTGATAAACTGAGAGTGAACATGAGGGAAACTGCCCATAACAAAATCGCAACATAAGGATAACATTTTGATAAATTTAAAGCGTATAGGAAAACTTGTACTCCAGACATTATCCTAGCGATCAGACCATTCAGAAAATGAACAGAATATTCACGCTCAGAGTGAGTTGGTTTCTGTATCCGATGCAGCTGTATGATATAAAACCTATACTTCTAAGTATCCTAAATACAACATCGTGAGTTAGAATCTCACCGCAAGAATCTTTCAATGTTGAACATTTCTCCATCAAGGGTGAGATCTTTGATGGAGGATGTTTCCTGTCTCTGAGCAACTTGGAATTTTATTAGGGAATTTCGTGGGTGGGTATCAAGCCTCGCATGTGCATGCTCACGCAACGCCTTTTTAGATAAGAATTTTGTAGCGTTCAGCAGCGAAAAATTTGCGCTGACATTAATTATGCGTAAGACTAAGAATCCGAGAAGTTCTGACTGAAAAAAAAGAAAATCTTATCACACAACACTTGCTGCACATTTTAGATGTGATATAAAAATATTTGTGATTTTTGAATCTCAAAGACAGCTTATAAGGTACGAATGAATTCACGAACTTTATGAAGACGATGACTAGATGTTTTTAATTAAGCATCTTCAAAATCGCAAATCCTTTGAAGACAGTCATACTACCCAAATGGCCCGCTAAAAGTCTACTGTCTGCATGGATCAGACCATTGACTTCAGGCAGAAGAAAACAGTGACTACAGTTGAACCATTACAAATGATTATTTGTGTCATTGCCGCATTGTCCACCTTAGGCGTCCCAATATTGGATTTTTGGATCAGATACTCCTTCAGGTGAGAGTTTCTGCCGTTAATGTGTTTTCCTTCCCGTGCAAGCACCTTTAGACTACTAGTTCACTAGTCATATGAAATGATTCGACTGCATAGAACCATTTGAAGTGCAAGTATATTACGAATCTTTGCATAATCTAACGTCTAGCTTCCAATAATCACACGCAAAATAAACCCAATTTTCAAACTCATCAGGCTGTTAGGTCCCCGCCATCACTTCGCACATCGCGTAAGCCGTACAACGGCGCATTCTCATCGTTACAGGCTATGATGATCCGTTGTGATGTGTGCGCCAGCGAATACCACGAAAAACAACAACAATACGCTATAGAGCTACTGGCAAACGGCCAGAAAAACCTTAGCGCCTCAAAAACACACTATTATTGTCAACTAGTAGATCGGAAGACAGATGATAGTAGAAAATGAGCAAAGATCAAGCAAATCGGTTGCAAAGATAAGCAACTGCGATTGAATAAAGATTAATCATTGCAAAAATTATTTGATAAACAAAGAAAATGACCTGATTAATCTAAACAGAAAAATAAGTCCATGAATGAGTCATAAATGAGGAAACCCCTACACGATGTCGTAGGAATCTTTTTCATTCCCCTTTCCTCTCCCCCTCCCCCTCCCTGACTTCATTTGACGAAAAGTCACACGTACTTCAACATAAACATTTCCTCCCCGACATCAAAAAACGTGCGTAAACATGAGCATGGACTCACGCACTATCTGTGATCAGTGAACAGCTACTGTTACCCGAAAATAGCCATATTAGCACTGAGAACAGACTTGCTATCGAAAGCTCTCATTCGTGATGTACTTTATGAGCAAAACATTGAGCTACGTACAACGAGATTTTTCCATCTTGGAGCTCCCAGCCAGCTTCACGCAAGAGTAGCGACGCGATTTGGCAACACTTCAATTTTGTAAGCGCATCGTAATTTATAGAAGATAGCGCAATTTATCAATCTACAAGCCCAAAGGCGCCCAAAAAAAGCCCGAAAGCGCCAGAAAGAGCCGGAAGACAGAAACGAACTTTTGGTAATATCCTGACATTATTTTGATGTGCAGACGACAGAAAATGAACCAAAAAGACTCGGTTGGGAAAACAACCACATTCCTTAGTGCCAAAACGTACGCACAGAAGGGGGCTTCCTGCCTTTTCTAGCGCTTTTGGGCTTTTTTGGGGCTTTTGAGCGCTTTGTTGGGCCTTTCTCGCGAAGTATAACGGTTCCTTAGGGTTGTATTTGAAGACATCCGGCAGATTTCCAGATTGCGTGGAGACTGAAATCGCATGAAGTGTGTCCGGAGCCTAACGCACCGTATCAAAGTAACTCGATAGCGCCTTCCCCCCCCCCCCCCTCGTGTGTACGAGTTATTTATCGTACTTTTGATCCTTTAATCCATATTGAGCATGTGCAGGCACAAGACGCGAAATGTCGTCGCCACGTTGGCATCTCTTTGTTCGCGTCATCGCAAGCGGCATTGTGACACTATGCTGGCGGGTGGGCAACTATGGTCACAGTCTAGAGAGGGAAAGGGAGGAAATAGTAAAAGGCAGGTTTCCGTACTCATAGTAAACATGCTAACTACCATGCAAAGGGATGACCGTAAGTTCTCCAAAGAATAGAAATTTCGACAAATAACCTGTAGCTTCCCTTCCGTTGCTCTCATGGGTAGCAAAAACAATGAATTTATGGAACTCATTTCACATGCAAGAGCCGCCGCGCGAGCCAATTAACGTTAGCCTAAGCTTCCACAACGGCTGTTAGTCATTGTATAGATCAACGATTGAGTTCTTTGCAATCTAAGTTCTTGAGTGAGACCATAAATATGTGAGCTCCCTATCATTTTATGAGAGATAAGCTTTGGTAGAGCTGCGAATCTAAACTTTGTCTCGATGTATAGAAACACTCATAAATGGATAGAAAAGAGTTGAAGATGTGCAATTCACAACTGGGTACAGTAAAAAAAAACATCCCTGGAAGTGCTGATTTTTGCAAAAACATGTGCCGGTAAAGATTACCGCGACTGTTACAGTTGCCGTACGGGTAAGATTTTTAGTACGTTCAGAGTACCACTTGTGTTGCATGAATAAAGGATGCCTCAGATAGGCGAAGTGAGGTGAGTTTACATAATCAACCTGATCTGGACGTACAACCAACTTTCCACAAGGTAGTAACTGTAACGTTCCAGTAATGAAAGAGGTGGTATCAAATCGCTGAGGAAAGACATTACTAATATCTCAGTGTCTTTCGTTCAGTTCAAAAGATGATATAACAGATCCCCAATCACTGATTTCACATACCGCAACCTTTCTATTCAACACAGGTGTCGAAATTCCATTCATGCCCCACCCTTCGTTGCATCACTGTTACAATAAAAAGGGGAACATCTGAACATTGCCCACGCAGGTTCTACGCCCACCTTGACACTTCCAAAGCAAAAAGCAAGGACAATATCAAACATGTGCAGAACGTGATCCTTCACGTAAAGTGGATTAGGAACCTTTGTCAATAGGATGGTTTGCAAATTTAACTTGCGACTTGTTGAAAATCGAAGCAGGTATTTGGAAATTTGAAAGAGAACAAAACAAAACCAACAAATCTCACAAAAAAGTGTAGAGAATTTCTGCTATACTTACATGTAAGAAGTTGATCAGCATCAGTATCAGTCCATACGACGACAATCCGCCTGTGTAGGTCGTGTTCAACCGTCGCAGTATCAAAAACTGCTTCAACACCAATATCAACGGTTCTACCACGGGAAATTCTTCTTTGACCTTGAAATCACTCCTCATAACGTTTTTACCAGTACGTGCAACCATACAATTACCTTTTCAATGTAATCAGCAGCCTTCACACCCTGAGCGGTGTTGAAAGAGATGTCCACATTGACCAAGGTGTCCTTTTCGACCATCTTCACGATCGGGACGAAGGCATCGGAGAAGACCGCAACTGACTTGGCCAGTCCGACCTCCTCGAGGTAGTTGGCGGTTTCTTGCATGCAATTCGCCTGAAGTGATATAAATTAGACAGAAAACGTCGAAAAACAATATAAGATTTCCAGGTTTTTCTTAGTTGCTCATTTCCTTGTTCAAATAGTAATCGAAAGGTTTCTTAGCATTTGAATGGTGCGCTTAACTCAAACCAACAAGGCTAATCTCATAAAGGTCTGTTTTCTACACTATTTTGTAGGGAAGTTTTTTTACTACACCATCGTACTAAACTTACAGCTAGCGCACCTGGCCCACATTTCATGAAGCTCAAGATTGGAAAAAACAAAGTTCAGTTTACCACTATAAATTCCATTCAATGTTCAGGACGCATGGAAAAGAATAGCATGGTGGCATCCGAGGTACCCTTCCTTCCCACCCAAATCAAGGCTGCAGATTTGACTACAGCATGATTTCCGCAGATCAGAAAACGAAGTATCACACCTTTTCACGTGACGAAAAGGTGGCCTTCAATTCTTCCCGCATATGAAACACACTCGATTATGTATCACCTTACATCTATTCGTGGAATTCGTGCTCTAAATAGCCTCGCAGTTCCTCAAAAACAGAAATGAGCTGCGATCGATGACAAACACTTATGGGCGACGTCCCAAAAACTTCAGTGTATGGGTAATTATCGTCAACGGTCAATTCGAAGAAAACAGAAGCTGTGGCCATTAATACTTTAAAAATGAGATAAAGTGAAAATAAAGCAAGAAGTAAGCACTTGAGTTACACTCACCATGGCACAAGTATCCTTCCATTCTTCACACTCGACTAAAACGTCGATGTCAGATGTTGGCAGGAATAATCGAGTACGTAAGCTGCCAAACACCGAAACTTTCACGTTGTTGCCTTTCCATCTCTCCTTTATAGCATTTTTCACCTAAAAACAATAACCATAATGTTGATAGATACAATCAGCAATACATCGCACCAATCTGGCTGACGTTATCAACTTAATGAATGTGAAAAAGACATTTTGAACTGATTATTTCGCAAATATAGTTGGTGTCACAGTACTCCTTTTAGTAGGAACTACGCATGCGCAACGCGAGGGAGAGGGAGCACATGATTGGACAGACTTATATCTAATCGCATAGCTAGACAAACAGATATGAGTGCTCCAACAATAAACTAAGAGTTTGGGGATAAAAGTGTCTACAAAGCAATTTCCCCTTTTTCTTTTTTTTCGTCCAGCATCAGCACACGACAAAATGCAAGTACGCCAAGCAGCTTCAAGCATTTCCAAATTCATTCATCGTTCGCGACAAAGAAACTGCCACTTGAACAAGGACGAATTGCTTGCCCTTTCTTGGCTGCAAAGCGCTGAAATGTTTCAGCATACCCGAAACTTGGTGGAACTTGGGGTGATTCACAAACATTTCATTCATATTGAGAAATCACAGCACAGCTGCCTCCCTGCACAACTTGATTTCGAGTTTGATAAGTGAAACATTCTAAAGACCATCGTCCAGTTTGTTCCAATGAATTCTGTCCATTACTGCAAAAATAGCAAAAGACCGCAAATTCGCTGCAATCTCTTCCAATCCATCAAAGCCCTGACCCAAAAAATAACTACTTACAGACAACCAGGTACGTTCTTCGCGAGAAAATGCCCTTTCAAGTTTAACCCTGACATAAATTTGTTCACTGCAAGTGCGACCAAAATTTTCGGAACAGGCAGTTCGAAACTCAATGTCGATTGAAACAAACTCAAAGAGTTGAAAACCGAGCGAAGTCTTCCTTGAAAACGGAAAGACGAAGAAACAAACAGGAAGATGTAAATGAAGAAGAATTTTCTGCTGGTAAAGAAGAGTTACAAGAAAAGATCAAGAAGACGTTGTAAACGACAAGTTGGTATCAAAAGACAAGATCCTCATGAGGCAGTGAATTTTATCCAAATTGTAATTTTTGCCCAAATGAATCAATCAAGATGAAGCCCATTCCAACTTACAACTAGTTGGCATATTATCTACTCATAATTGTGCAAGGAGAAGATGCTGCAAAATACGGTTTATAATGAGTAATACGAAGAAGCAGTGTTTTATTCATATGAACTGAGAGACCAGCAGACTTTTCCAGTTAGAATGGAATCCACGCATAAATCACACTAGATGAGCAAAATTACGACTCATTGGTCATGATTAAAGGCGATGGCATATCTGAGCACTGGGGTTTTCACGTGATAACGGTCAGGGACTTAACTAATGTTGCTCAGTGTCAGATTTGGATATACTTTTCCTCGATCGCGGATAAATCATTTGCGCTGCCGCTTGGGCCGCGCCAGTTGGGGTCCCAGTGTTTCTTGAGGAAGCTCTGATTTACCTATACATTCAATTGCCCTACTCAAAACAAAGATCTTGCTAGGAAAGCAGGAGAAGTCAAACGTCTATAATCACATATTCCAACTCATACTTGCATAGCGATGCACGTTTTTGAAAGCAAAATTCCCACAAGAGCGTTTGCTAAATTTAGCATAGAAATTTTGATATAAACGAATGCACAAATCGTGAGCGAAAGGGAAGATATTTGGGAAATTTGCACTACTTGTGATATAAACACTGTAAAATCAAATATTACAACATTGTAAAATCAAATATTACCAATCATCATGACGAAATACCTCTATGGTAGTCGTGCTGATGACAATTAAATTTACACTTAAAGTTTGAATAAAGTGTTGTTAAAAGGAAAAGACAAGTAGATTACACAAAAATAAAACTGAAAAATGTGAAAAAGAAAAAAGACAATGGAAAGAGAGAACCTCTAAAACATACCTTTCGGAACACTTCTAACCGTACGGCTTCTTCTAATCGGCATGGCCGTAACCATTGGAAGATATCCTTTATTTCTTCATGTAGCCTGAAATATGAGGGATGATACAGAGCACAATCACAAATCTGCAATATTCCTCATCAAATTTTCTTCTTTTTCCTGCTCACTTTCATAGTCACCTTCTATATCTCGAATTTTATCGTACGCAAGCCATTCCTAGGCAACGAAACAAATCCCAGCCAATAATAATTTGACATCACATTACAGCGTACGATAACATTTTGATTGACGTAATACTAATCGGAACCGCGTGTATGATGCGCTCCGTTCAGCGTTATTTCACCGCAGCCTTCAATCTATGGTATGGATCGATTCCTATCAGTGAGTGATGGAAAAAAAGTATCAACGCACAATCGTTTGTCAATATAAAGGAAACAATCGATTTTTTACATGATTTCATGCACATAATGATCTCAACTAACTTTACCCACCAAAACTGTAAACTGTAAAAGAGCGTGAGCTAATAAAGTCACAAGCAGAAATTCTTTTTAAATGAGTAGAGATAGAGCATGACTCGTTATAAACTTAAACCGCGATATAAATAATACTTATGCTCATCCTCAATGTTTTCACTCTTTCTTGAAACCCAAAAATTACTCTTGCTGGAACTCTTCGACGGATCAAATTTTGCCAAGCATTGAGAGCAGATATCTCTACAAGCATAGTGTAATTGCATAATTGCCCATGCTACTGCTTCCAGAGAATTCAATCTTCACACCCTGTCCTTTCGCACCTGGATCTGATAGAACGAAGGTAATCTGATTAGTGCGTGTAAAAAAACTTGTAAAATGCTTTTCTTAAGCATACAACTATTCGCGATCCATGTTCTCATATAACGATACGAAATATTTCAACTGAGCCTATACCAACGCGAGCGAACGTTCGCTCGTTCACGCTCAATGTTCGCAGTCTTCCGAAAAATTACACAAATGCGAATAGGTATGGTTACACAGTCATTGATCATGATCGCCGTACGGCCCAAGTCGATACTTCACAAACAAAAATAGTGACCACACTAGATGTTATTTCAGTTATAAAACTGAAACTGTAAATCGGAAGTGAAAGAAAACTCTATTACTCTCAGCTCAGCTTAAAAGCTTACTAAAATCTCAGTTATAAAACTGAAACTGTAAATCGGAAGTGAAAGAAAACTCTATTACTCTCAGCTCAGCTTAAAAGCTTACTAAAACATGATAAAATGTGTGTACGCTTCAAAAATGATTGCTAACTCGAAAGTTTTATTTTTGTGGACGAATAGTTGTATCTGTGGTAGTGCGAAAATCCGTAATCGATAAAAAATGATATTACTTTGATTCTATATCCAGCACACATAAGCCACGGGGTGAATACTACTGAGTTTTCCGCAGTAACTTTCCGTAAAGCAAATCAACTCTGACAATTAAGCATGTTCGTATATTTTCATGCCCATTCAAAAATAGCTCTAATAAATCATTCAAAGCCCACCATTTTCAACAACTCGCATGACCACAATATCACGTGAAAATTCCAAAAACATATTCTGGCCAAATGCCAAACAACATGAGGCAAACAGGCTTATTAAAATTCATGAACAAACAACTTCTTCTCGCCCCGAAACGCGCACGAGAGCACCTAGAGCACAGTGGGTTTCGCCACAGTGTGCGTGTGCTCTCAACGATGTATTGGCGACGAAAAAACCGGAAACTCACGCTGCTCTAGGCAGACACAGACAGGAGAAGTGTGAGTGATTGCGGATACTTAGCACACGGGACACTTACCCTTCTATTGACAGGCTATAGCGTTTCGTTGCCCATGGTGCGATAATCTCATCGTAGCCGAATAAACGGCCAGCCTTCTCCATATACCAACATTCGTCCCTGGACGTCGATGGTGACGCTTCTGGCGACGCCATCATCGTCGCCAAGCCAGCGGGTTCAGGAACCATTTTCATCGACGAATCGTCTGGAATGTACCCGAAATTGCGTGTGCGAGTGAAGAATGCGCCGCTCGTTCACTTATCGGTGGGCGAGGAGAGATGACGCTAAACTGAAAAACCCCTAAAACTGCAACGTGATCGAGAGCTGCCTATTGGAAGCGATGACAATGCGTCAAATTCATTCGCCATCAACGACAGCACATGCTGCACTGTGGTAAAGGTGGGGGTAAATGGAGCAACAAGCCTATCGTCAGAGAGTGGATGTGAAAATACGAGTGAAAAAATAATATGAAAAATATGTCAAATGGTAAAAAAAACTTATAGCATCCAAGGAAGAGCCATGAGCGCAAAAAAAAAAACTAGTGTACTCAGAAGAAGAAAACTGAAATCTGCAGTTGTAAGACTGGAGAAAACTAACTCACGGCAAATAATGAGGATGAAAATACGATGACTAACAGAAAAAATCAGGCCGTTACGAGAATAATTTGAATCAAATTCAATGAGCGACATAATGTCCCATAAAAAGGAAATAATAATCTCGACGATCGCAAGAAACGCAAAAATAGAAAGTAGAAAAATCGCATTATTGCATTTCCGGGAAGAGCAGACTTACACATTCTACAGAAGAACTTATCGTTGGCAACTATGTGACTGATATACTATTTTGATTACACTGGGTTATACTGACAGTTGCCAACATTACAACATTGGAAACATACAATATCAAGCCCTTGTGAATATAAATCTTCAGAAAAAGATGTACTTGAGATTCCGTCGGAAGGGTGACAAAAGATCGGAAGTTTCCAAGGAGGTTGCAGCCTGAGAGTTCACAAACTAATAATGTATTGAAGTTTCCAGGATATGAAACGAATTTAGGGAGTTTCTCATGAGATCGAGGAAAACTTCGAAACAAGGAACGAACTGGGACAATCCAACCACATCGCGTCGGTGATGTTGTTTCAAGAGGGGAAAGGAATGCTCTCAAAAACAACCCGTTTTTCAGCTGTCAAAGCCTCAGCTCTTCATTAGGGAAAGGTAGAAAGACCACAGCGTCAATGAAAACAAACACTGCCTTATATTGACACTTTGCCGCCGCAGATAATGAGACATCAACAATGTTTACTATGGAATGACTCTATTAACTTTTACTACATCCGTATAGCATTGCAACATTAGATACATTCTCTGAAACACTCCAGCCTTTGCTGAAGCGTCTGAATAAATAATTCTCTGCAGATTTTACAAAAAAAAAACACTCGCATGCCCATTTCGACCACAACGCATCGACGCAAAGGGAAGAAATGGACGAGATAAGATGGAAACGAGTCAACTCGGTCATTGCTCGCCATCTCTGACGGAAGCTATTCTGGGCTAGCGAATGAAAAAATAATCGACTATATTGGTTGTCCGAAGAAGCATCAGCAATGACTATTCTAAAAAAATATCCTGAACATAATTTTCAAAAAATAAACTTCGTAGAGTATTAGATCTGTTTTAGCAACACATCAAGCATTTGCAAAAAAACAATCACTTAAGCAACAGAATAGATTTTAAAAATTGGGAAAGCTGCAGATAGCGCTGCCACTGTCTACCAAGAATAATAGAGAATTTGGAATTTTGGTCTGATTGCATTTTAATAAAGAATAGCAAAGATTAATATCATGGCAAAAAATTCGACTGACTCAAAATGAATTATAAATAGACAAAGATAATCTCATTATCAAGAAGATTCCAAGGATCTTACAGCTAGCGCCTACACAGCTGTCAACACCTCTCTCCGCACCTGTCACATCCTAATAACATCAATTTAGTCTCCTCACTTTTGGACGCAAGAAATGCCTTCCAAACAAAACTGAAAGAGGAATTCACCTGGAATTACTAGAACCAACGCGTAAACATTCTGAAGCAATCTCCGAATCGAGACATGCCATGCGGTAAATATTTTTCTGCAAGAGTAGAGAACGAGGACACTTCCCGATGTATCTGTGCCTTTGCTCGAGCAGCATTCATAACGATCAAAAACCAGTTTATCAACACTCAAGGCTTTGAAGAGAATTTTTGAATAAGCATATGACAGAAAAATAAAAATGCGGAACTATAGCATTTTGCAATTTTGAAATCTAATCTATGATCCAAACGCGATAAGCTCGATAAGCCCCTTTTACACCCCTAAATGCAGCCTTCTTTTTAGATCTTCTGTTCAATTCAGCAATTGCTCGTTACTCATACCAGGTTTCCGTTATATACTTTTTGTCAATAGAGGCTATTGCCGACAATAATCGTCAAAATAGAGGCCAATATATGCACACATCATAGACTAGACATCACTATTATATGCGTATGCTGGTCAAGCAATTGAAAATTGGAAATCGATGAAGTACGTCAGCATAAGCAATTTTTCAAAATACATCCATCATTCACATGCCACTTCGCATGCACTCTATTTATTGATGTGGGGTTAAATGAAATATAATTATCGAATTCGAATGTTGATTCAGATGGTGCAACTGCACTAATACATAACTTTACGATGCTGCGCTATAGCCGATGGGCTGCTGAGTGATTTAATACAATACCAGATGTAGTTCAAAAATTGACTTATTTCGAATTTTAGTAACTATCAGATTGTAGCAATACTCGAAAAGGCGAATGATGTAATCCCAAAAAATCGAAAATCTGGCAACTGCATTCATAGGAAGAAGATACGAGAAAGCAAATAAGGAAAACCAAATTCAAAGCCCAAAAAATATTTGCCGTGCACATGCTAGATAAAGTAGTAGTGTATATACATCACATAAAAATAATATTGGATTCAGGAAAAGAAAGATTTCTGCGACTGCTAGATGTGATACTCGCTTCGCAAATATATGACGTACTTAAGAAAAGTTCTAGCTAAATAAAGTGATTCGAAAACAATGGGGAAATCACTGGAAAGAAGAAAAGATGAAGACCTACGGAACTCGTATCTGCACACATGAGATAAGAACGCAGACGTCTTCATGATCGTCAAAAAGCGCAGTCTGGCGCCAGGCGAAAACGCGCGGATTTCAATCCACTTTATTGAGTGCGATAAGTGCGTGTAGACTTCGATGTCCGTTTTCTTTAAAAACAAAACATGAAGGTGCGTAAACAGACCGTATAGTTCATACTAAATGAAAAGCTGCATAATTATTATGGCGATAGGGCAATGACATCCAGACAACGTCTAGCAAGTCCACAAATTGAATGAACGCTGCAAGCGAATCAATTCTTATAGAACCGTAAAAATTCGATTATGAATTTATTTGAGAACTTGGAAGCGAGCGACGTGCATAATGAGACTAGAGCCACGAAAAGAATAGAACAAATAGAATGTTAAACTCAAAGGCGATCAGATCACTGTACGGAATCAGATCTTGGGTCTCCTAGATATTTAGAAACCGTTTACGATATGTTTACAAACACAACAAATTCGCGACCGCACAGTGATGTGATGCAACCGCGCTGCAACATTCATCGCGACGCAGTCCGAGAAAAAACTGTTCGTAACTCTACAGAATATATAAAGAATACACATGATTCAAGGACAACCATAGAAAACAAAAATTTTTCTCACGAACTCGTAAATATATCGAATGAGTCATCAGCGAACGACGATAAAAGAAAACAGGATGCAATTTTGGAAACAGGTTTAAATGAGGAAGTTAGAAAACAACCTGATTTATTAGTTCTTACTCGAGTGCCATTTATTACGCCCAAGTTTGCATTTTAGTTCTTGTCCAAGACTGTGAACTGTTGAGATCTTTTTTGAGATCGAATAAATAAAAACAAATGCGAAATTTCTGAATCAAACAAGGAGCTAGCTCAACTTGGATTTGGACTACAGCAAGAGAAACATTGAATGTTCTTCTACTAAAGCCAATGAGTATCTAAACAAATCGAACACAGATGCTAGAATTTGCAAGATTCGAAGGTTCTAGCAAAAGCAGCAAGAATTGCTTTTGAACCTCCAAAAACTGCTAAAATTAGCGCCATGCGCGCACATAATGCGCCACACGTAGCAGCCTTGGTGGCACTAAGAGCATCACAATCGCGGCGCACGGTGTTGTAATGAACGCGATGGACTGCACTGGAATCGCTGCATGAGACTTAGAACGGAAAATCGGAGAAAATTTGAAAATTTCCAGGAAAAAAAGAGTACCGGAAGGAAAATCTAGGACCTAGCTACGATTGCTGACGATTATTTAGCCATAGCAGCAGCCAGTCAGCAACAACCACAGCAGCAGTCAGTCAGTCAGTTAGGATCGGCGCGGGTAGCATGGAGCGCGTAGGCCGATCGGCGACGGACGCACGGACGATCTCTCGCGGTGGCGGCGGGAGTGCCGAGCGGCCGAGAGAGCGCCCGTCGCGGAGGGCGCCGAGAATTTTCGCCGCCGCGCACAACGAAGCGTCAGATGACGCGCGGCATGCTAAATGGCGAGCGTTAGCTCGGCAAAATCGATCAGCGGGTTTCATTGACAGTTTTGAACGAGAAGTTCGCTAAGGTTTGAAACCTTTGTGGCAATGCAGCCGAACACCTCTCCTAGTCTTTTTCTTCCTCTCTTAAGAGTAGAAGATGCAGTTCTATAGCTTGTTTCTGCTTCAAAGAACAATAATGTAAGTAGAAAAAGTACCTGCTTAGCGTACTTAGGAATTCTCATCGGGTAGATCATTTTTCCTCTCTCTAGCAAACTCGGAATAGCTGCAGACTTGTGTAGCAAGCTGATCTCCTTCTTCCTTTCATCTCTAGATAGTAGGAAATTCAAAATAAGTTGATGCACAGGTTTTAATTTGTAAAACACACACACAATAATCACCATTCTTGAGTCTCCCAGTCAGACAAACAATGATAAGTACAATGACGCGATTTGGTTGCCCTTTGGCCCATAAACGGGTTGTACAGCCTAATTGCTTGATTTAGGAACAAATCTCCAAATTGAAAAACCTGCCTACAAAAACCGACTTCGAAGCGCTTTTTCGATATCAAGCAACCTATAAGCCCTCCTCGACCCATCTCAGGTTGCGATTTTATTGGGACTGAATAATGCTGAATCTAGATTTATTCGATCGGGCTCAACTCACTGAATGGAGCAAAGCTAGCTCTGCAAAATAGTTACCAAACACCTATAGACGATTCTGCGCGTGCATAGACAGGACGCCGCTACGGACGTTCTCGGCGTCTCATAAATCATGCACTTCCATCCCTCCAACAGTCGTTGCCTCTTCCAAGCATGCACTACCTTCTTCGGACGCAACCGCGTTCAGTCTTTGCGTGAATTGCCTACCGAAAACTCATACTCAGTTAAGCCTGAACTCGAAGTCTAACAATAAGACCGCTTGCTCACGCACACATAGATAGGTATTAGCACATTAGACTTTGCATGCACAATTACTGTATTTTCGTATTAATACAATCTAGGAATGGTGACAAAATTGTCACGCTCCATTTCTACCCGTCTTTTTTCTCTCCAAAGGGTTATAGCTAAATAGCTCAATCAGAAGGCCTTAAATTTACACATGCCTTAACCCTTCAGAGGTAACAATTTTGCAGCTTGAAACTGAAGAAAAAATTGTGGGGCAATCCAATGCACCTGTGCTGCACTTATCCAGTCCTTGAACCCGGAGAATACTGACTTTTCCACAGCAAGTCGCTCTGTTGATGTATTACCAATCAGCTATTTGAAATATCCGTCAATTTCCAAGCATGATTTATAGAGTCTAGCACTAAACTATACGGGTAGCATTGCTGCTGATTATTTATGTATAAACGGAAGTCAACAGCTACGATTTCGCTGGAGTTTGTGAGTCTTTATGGATCCTGGTTTCGGCCCCAATATCAGCCAAAAAATAGAACATGTCATTATGTCCAATGATGATTGCATCTCTTATTAGCAAATCCATGCGCTTTTTTGTGAGCTCATAATCAGGTTAACATTGCTGCGTTTTTATAGTAAAGAAAGGTAGGTTCAGCAACTTTCATCAGTTTCGGTTTCTAAATATTTGCATCATCATTGCATACATTTTGAAAAAAAAACAGCTCTCTGCAGTATGCATGAGTTTTTTGATAACCTTTGTTGAAATGAGGAAATCATGTAGTTTTCAATTATAGCCTTACTGCATTTGAGCATAAGTTGCAGAGTTAAAAATCAAGGGGACAATCACTCGCATTTCGGTAAATTCAAACATACTCAGCAAAAATCAAAAGCTTTACAAAAACATCAAAACATATGCAGAGCCTACATGATCTCCTCCTTTTAGCATAGCAAAATTTGCGCTAGTCGACTGCCCTTATAAAAAGTTATGATTGAGAGTTCTCTGCGTTTTTTACGAGAATAAAATCGCTCTCGACCAGTATGAATTTTGCTCATCTAGAAGGAGAAAGTCATAGAAGTTAGGTTTATGACTATTTCGGTTTTTTTGTGACACTAGATTTTTCTGAGCTTGCTCAAAAAATGTCAATTCTAGGTATTTTTGTTCATTTGCTTCTAGCTCTTGATCTTTCTCATTTTGATTCATGGGAAAGGTGCTGTTGTAATGTGCAAAAATTTTGTTTTCAAATAAAAGTGCTTTCGAATTTTTCGTTTTTGTTTGAAAATTTCAGTTGTATGTGATTTTTTTCTAAGGTTTGTCCCTCATTTTCTCATACTAATTTACGCCGGAAGAGGTATCGTAAAGAACATGATCTCTGCTCTCGAATAAAAATATTTTGAAGGAACTCTATAGAATGGCAAGGATGTGACGACTTTTTGATGAGGCGCAAGAACTTTCGGACCAAAATTAATACTCAGAATTCGTGCTTTTGACAGGGGCCTAATTCAGAACTATTCTGGATTACAGAAATGAACGTCTGAATTGTAAAAATGCACAGGAACATTCGCTTCGAAATATTTGAAGATGAAGTGGAAAGTTGTCCAAATATCAAATCGGTGAAAAAAATTTTTTGGTCATTCACTCAAGTATTTTTGGGTTGCCTCTCAAATTGCAGGCTCCCTTGAAAATTTTAGAGCAGGGAGCGTGGCGGCAACTACGCACCAAAAAACCTTTTTGAAAGGCTAATTTGATTTTTTCAAAAATTTCAAAAATTGCTCAAATTATTTGCAGGAGCAAATGAGTCATTTGTACATTTTTTTAACGTGGAGCTGAGCACCCCCTCCCCCCCCCCCACCCTAAGGCCGTGCTTAATGTTTAGAGGAATTGTTGTCTACCTATCCCCTCCCCCCCCCCCCCTGCTTCCTCCTCCCGGACTTGTTCTTTCTTCGCATTTTATTTTCAGTTGTAAGTAAATTTAGGTCGCCTTGGTAAAGGAAATCTGTTGGGGTTCTGGGCCCACAATTTTCGGCATCCCTAGTGTTTCTCGGAGAACTCACGCCTCTCTTCCCCCCCCCCCCCTCCCCTCTAAGGGCCGCATGCACTAACATCCCCGCGGGGAGGGGATCGCAGCTTAAAAGAAAACTTTATATTAGGAAACTCTAGATACCTGGATTTCACGTTGTGTACCTATCCAAAAGTATTGCTACTACCCTTCACTATGAACATGTTGAAGAGGAGCGAGAAGTTGTACGAACCGCATTTTCCAGCTTTTGCATGATCCCTGATGATCCCCGGCGCTTTTCTTTAAAGTCATTTTTCTTTCTCCGAAGTTAACGAGCAACCTCCAAAGTTGTGCAGATTATCCAACCCGACAGTGCTAAGCATGTTCATGATAAGAACGAATGATGTTTTGAAGTCATGAAATTTTCGATGATCCACAGGTCGAAATTTGAGGTTTACCGAAAAATTCGACTTTTTAAAAACTCATTTGTTCTCATCAGCAACATGCTTGGCACTGTTGTGTTAGATGTTCAGTACAGCTTTGGAAAGTTTTCGTTAACGTCAGAGAAAGAAAAATGACTTCAAAGAAAAGCGCCGGGGATCATCAGGGATCATACAAAAGCTGGAAAATTCGGTTCGTGCAGCTTCTCGCTCCTCTTCAACATGTTCATAGTGAAGGGTAGTAGGAATACTTACGGATAAGTACACAATTTGAAATCCAGGTATCTGGAGTTTCGAAATATAAAGCTTTCTTTTAAGCTGCGATCCCCTTCCCAGCGGGGAGGTTAGTGCATGCGGCCCTAAAAGAATTTATGGGATCGTCACTGGAACCTGATGCTCTTGCACTACATGGCTATGGTCTTTTCTGGAGCAAGCATCTAAAGTTACATATTCCTGTTGATTTCGAATACATATTTTTGGCTTTTCAGATCCCAGAGTAATTGCTGTATACAGCAAATTCGTTTCAAAATCTAAAATTCACTGACTACTTCACCAACAATCGCATCTTGAGAGATTTTCGAAATTTTCTTGCTTGTATAGCGAACTGGGGTTGTGGAGAGAGGAATTTTGCACTGTAGAGGTAGAGCAATGGAAATTTATGGCGGACTGAGGCAGAGAGGTGGGAAGGGGAGTAGGCTCTGGAATCCAGTTGCCCTAGATATAGAAATGCAAACACTTGTTTTCACGCGTAAAATATCAAATAATCTTTGAAAATTCGAGTTGGTTATTCTCATAATTGGGATTACAGATCAAAACAATTTCAATGAGCATCCGCCACATCCACTCAAAGAATTCCTTTGTTGCTCCTCCTTGAGGGAGCAACAAAGGAATTGAACCGCAGGAATTCCAGTATTCTTGTTCAATTGTTTTAAGCCGTAACAGGTTTTTAAAGAAACATATTTTTTACTGCCCGACGTTTCGGCTAAATGCCGTCTTCAGAGGCCTGTAAGGGGAGCCTGATAAGGCTTGAAAGAGCCGTAACCGGCCTGTAAAAACCTGTTACGGCTTAAAACAATTGAGCAATATCTACAAAACATGTTGAGATTTTACAGAAAGAAGACATATAATTCAGTATTCTTTTCAAGCTCCGGTAGCCGGCGGTGCTGCAGCCCTAGAATCTCTTTTGATCAAGAGGTTATACTAGAAAATAAGGAATTGAGACCAATGTTCTTCATGTTCGATGGTAATTTAACTGCGCACTCGGAGTATGTTTTTCTTGAGTTGTAAATTGTCCTTCATGTGTTCTTGTGATTGTTTAGAGCGAACAATTTGCAGAAGTTTACCTTGTCGTTTTTGGGACACCGTGTGACTATAGCTTCAACCCAGAGTTTAGCGAGTATTTTACATTTCTGACAGCTTGACTGAGTTCAATAAATGCAGAAACATTTAGCTGGAATGCTTACTTAAACATGGTTTTTGCGGCAAGTGAAGATTGCAAAGACTTGCCTAAATCATGTGTACTTCTAGGCCAGCCAAATGGCCTGAGACTCACTAGTGCTGTTCTCCAAAATAAATCTAGCAAGGGAGGGACCTGAATAGTTCAAAATTTTGTGAACCTGAATTGTTCCGAATTTTTACGGTTGAATGGATCATATAGTTTATTGTCGGCTATCTTCACTGCATGTCCAGATTTCTGGTTTATTCAATTAAGCATTTGGGCAAGTGCAATTTCCGAAATTTGACACGTAGAGCTCAGAAATTCATCCATGATGGGGGAGGGAGGGGAGTGTAAGTTTAGTACCTCTAGCATTATCGCAGTCTTGAAGGCTTGGTAGTCTGTTAGATGCGAAATTAGGCACATCATTGCTCTTTTAGGTCACCTCTAGATACGAGCCACATGAAGAGACTTAGTTGCATGTTTTGGTCCAACTTTGAGCCTAGAATGGCTTTGTACGGCCAAGTTTGCACTTTACATGCACAATTTCTTAGCAAAATAATGGTCTTCAACGGCTTATAATTTCGTCCACGAAAGCGCTCTGCAGATAAGGAAGACAGATTTAGAGTCAGCGTTTTATGCCGCATCTAATAGTATGCAGCTTGTATGAATTGGCCACTTCGACTTCTGACCATTCCCTTGTAAGATACGCTTCGGACACGCTCATGTATTCCCATTTCATGAAGAAGAGCCAGCACCACTATAGAAACTGGAAGTGGATGCTAACCCTAACAAGTTGAACAGGTTAATTACTCCCATTTGCTACACCTACAGGAAAAAACGACTTTTCTACGATAATAACGCGTCAAACCTGCCACTTCTTGATCGCTCCCGTTTTGTTACGAACAAGAAGTGGTTTTCCTTCTGTCTTTTCTCCAAATCGCTACAACTCAACTCAAAGATTTGCCGATAATCAGAGCACTTTCGCCTGCTTGGATCCAATTTGTAAAGCCCGAAAGGACACCAATATTAGAAACACTTTTTTCCATTCTAATGTAAGTTTCACACCTTTAACTCCTACGAGCTCATTCCAGTTTGCTGTCTATTATACTTTGGGAAATTCGAAATTTTTTTCGAATATTCGAATATCGAATAATATTCGAAAATCGAAATTTTCGAATATTCGACTATCGAATATTATTCGAAAATTGAAAACTTTGAATATTCGACTATCGAATATTATTCGAAATCTCAGACTTTCGAATATTCGAATTTTCGAATCATTCGTATTCGAATGATTTATTCGAATAATCGAATAATCATTCGATTCGGTCCAAAGTATACTGTCTATGCAAGAAGAGACCACGGTTGCACAGTTTTCCTTGAGCCTGCCTTAATTCAATAATCCCTTGTACAGTCACTTTTGTATCTGCGCTGCCAGTGCAGATACAAAAGAAGAGAAAAGAGCTTATGCCTCAGTGTGAGCAGTAAAGCAGCTTCCTGGTAGAGGACAGCAGGCCGAAGAGGGAGGCCGCGCGGACATTTGCAACGGACCAAGCACCTTCACCATCGCTGCCTCAAGGACCCGTCATACTTCGCCGAAAAAAGCCCAAAAGCGCCCAAAAAAGCCCGAAAAAGCCCGAAAACGCCCAGAAAAGCCCGAAAAGCCCAAAAAAGCCCAAAAGCGCCCAAAGAAGCCCGAAAAAGCCCAAAAAAGCCCAAAAAAGCCCGAAAGCGCCAGAAAGAGCCGGAATGTAGAAACGAACTTTTGATAGAATTCTGACATTATCTTATCATGCGGACGACAGAAAATGACAAAAGGCTCGATTGCGAAGTCAACACACATGCCTTAGCGCCAAAACGTGCGAGAAGTGTTCGGCTCTTTCTGGCGCTTTTGGGCTTTTTTGGGCTTTTTCGGGCTTTTTTGGGCTTTTTCGGGCTTCTTTGGGCTTTTTTCGGCGAAGTATGACGGGTCCCTCATGCTAGATAACTGTACTGAGGGCGTAGCCTATCGACAACCCAATGTCTTCCATCCAACTTCTTCCCAGCGGCAGATGCCGCCACAGTCAGGATCACTGGGTCCCACAACGACTCTGCTTCTTAGCCATGGCGCGACTGGTATACTCGTCCAAGTTCAAAACGAGCGTCAAGTAAAATCTGGGGTAGGGGAACGGACTCCGCCAGTTTGAACCGCCTCCGCGGACTACTAGTCCTGTAACGACATGCAGCAATATAGCAAAAGGACCAGTTGCCATCGAAGGCGGGCTCAAACTGGCGGAGTTCGTCCCCACCCTGAAATCTGTTCTCGCCGTTTTCGCAAAGTGGATTTTCGAATTCAGCGTAGTGGAGAAGCCCGTAGACATAGAGGCTAGAAGTTGAGTTTTTGCTCTGAAAGCTGCGCCGAGCCCCATATTCGTTCCTGTACCCATAGTGCCCTAGGATGGGTTCATACCGGTCTGGAAGTTCACGAACAGTTCCAGCATAGCGCACAGTTCGAGCGGTGTGCTGCAATTCCGGAACTTACGGATCTGGATGAACCCAACCTTATGCACGTTACGGTCGTGCAAATCGGCCTACCCCCTAGGTCTTGCTAGTATTGATTTAAAGGCAGTGTCCGGGCAAAAACTCGATTTTGAGATTTTGTGCTTATACGGGCCTATTCGCCATGCTGAATCCGAAAATCCACATTGGAAAGCGCGAAAACGGCGAAAAAGGGCCCTAACACAGGAGGGAAATCAGCAGGTGGGCGGGGCTTTCCCCAGTGCGATTTCACGCTCCCGGCTCCCGGAGCGATTTTCTCGATTCCGCTAGCCGTCCTAACATCGCTACCGGTCAAGTGCGAATGATTGACTTGAAACCGGAAGCGAAAAGGTCGCTCCGGAAGCCGGGAACGTGAATTCGCAGTGGGGAGGGCCCCGCCCACCTGCTCATTTCCCTCCTGTGTTAGAGCCGTTTTTCGCCATTTTCGCGCTCTACAATGTGCATTTTCGGATTCAGCGTAGCGAATAGGCCCAAGTAAGCACAAAATCTCAAAATCGAGTTTTTGCCCGGACACTGCCTTTAAGGTTCTCCACTTCTCCGTTATTGTCGTTGAATACTTGTGTCGTAATTGAAAGATTTGTAATCTTCCTTATTTGCAGGCATGTTGTCAGCGCTTCGCACTTTGGCTCCGCGCCCAGCACGCCAGCTTGCGTCCATCGTCAGAAGTGTGAGCACGGAACCTGGAGAAGCACCTAAGGGAATTGCAACTACTGGTCAGTTTGATTGCGTACCTTTCGAACTGTTGAGTTTGAGTGGAACAAATCCCATTATTTTCTTTGGTTTCCATCTTTTACCGTACTACTTCCGCGCTAGTGTTGAGTAACCGACTAATCTAATAAGATCACATAGATGATATAGTGCTCCTGCGGTGTATGAGAAACGAATGAAAAGTGACAGTGAGACGCGAAATTTGAAATGTGCGATCTCAGCCATTTTCGTATACGAGCGACGTCTTTCAAGGCTCAGACCAAAAAATGCGCTCATTGGTTCATTTATAGTCGCAGTTGTTACCGGCGCTGCGATTGCACTATATCACCCGTCAGATCTACTAGACTATGTTCAATATTACTTTTGTCTCCCGACTAAAGAACGAAAAAGTATTTTTGAACATTCCAGCTTTCTTTTTCACTAATGAGTTCACTTTTGCTTGTGCAGGGACTCCTTTCCTGGAAACGTCCTCATCCGGTGAATATGCTATGGCGCGAATTGACGATTTGATGAACATGATCCAACGTACGTCGCTGTGGCCGTTGACGTTTGGTTTGGCTTGCTGCGCCTTTGAAATGATGCAGTTTGCTGCTCCACGTTATGATATGGATCGTTACGGTGTCGTATTTCGTGCTTCTCCAAGACAGGTCAGTCAATCGCCCTCAGTTCACGTCAGAAATAAATTTCATCATGCAAATGTGTTTTCATTATATGACGATTTTCCGCTCTAGCTTGCTTGTGATACCGAGGGTGCGGAAATTTTGCGCGTGCGCTTACAAGGTTTGTTCATGCGCAATCTTTATAGCGAACTAGCTGGCTTACCCGGCTCCGCCGTATCCGGACCAAACTTGGCACACATACACTTCGGGCCCCGGCGGGTGTCACAGTCCACTTTTCGTTATCGATCGATGTCGATTTTACCGATTTTTATCGATTTTTTGGCAGAGTTCACCTACAGGGCTAGGAGTTGGCACAGGGGGGAAGTGAGCATGGGGATTCCGAATACAATATTAGTTTTCAGAATTATCGATTGCTTTTATTGATTTTATCGATTTTTTGGCAGAGTTCACCTACAGGGCTAGGAGTTGGCACAGGGGGAAGTGAGCATGGGGATTCCGAATACAATATTAGTTTTCAGGATTGTCCATTACTTTTATCGATTTTATCGATTTTTTTGCAAAGTTTGACCTGCGGGGCTGGGAGTTTGCACAGAGGGTAATCGAGCATGCAGATTACGAATACAATATTAGTTTTCAAGATCGTCCATTACTTTTATCGATTTTATCGATTTTTTGAAAATTTGAGCTAGGGGGCTGGAATTTGGCACAGGGGTGTTCGAGCATGCTGATCACCCCCCTTGGGGATGATCAGCATGCTCGATTACCCCCCTGTGCCAACTCCCGGCCCCCTAGCTCAAACTTTGCAAAAAAATCGATAAAATCGATAAAAGTAATCGATAATCCTGAAAACCAATATTGTATTCGGAATCCCCATGCTCGATTACCCCCCTGTGCCAACTCCCAGCCCCGTAGGTGAACTCAGCAAAAAAATCGATAAAAATCGATATCGATCGATGACGAAAAGTAGCCTATGACACCCGCCGGGGCCCGTAGTGTATGTGTGCCAAGTTTGGTCCGGATCGGTTCAGAAATGGAATTTTCTATTCGGAACATACGTACACACAGACATACATACAGACAGACAGACAGACAGACAGACATACAGACAAACAGACATTCAGCTTTATATATAAGATTTTGGCACCCCAAACATAAGTACTATATTGAGTGGAAATTTACTAGACCTATCAATAGTTTACCAAAGAAAGGCTTTGATTGCATAATCCTCTGATTCAATAAACGTTTTTTCTTTTAGACTGATTTGATCATTGTCGCTGGAACTGTGACAAACAAAATGGCGCCAGCGCTTCGGAGAATCTACGATCAGATGCCGGAAGCAAAGTGAGTGTTTTTATTTTTCTGCAAAGATAGTGCGCACTGAAAGTGTTGTTTTCTTCATGTTCTGCTCTTTCACATTATTGACTACATTACCACTCTTCTGTTTCAGCAGTCGAGTGAGTTTGTGCAGTCGTGCTCGTTATTCATCCGAATATGATGAATTAGGACCGTGCTTGACCTGACGATTGCCTAGGACCGTGTTCTAACCTGAGCGCTAACCCTGCAGAAATTGCGTACGGGTTCAGCAAGGGATTACTGAGGATCTAGAAGTTCACAAACGTCTGTATGGAATCTTTCCGTTACTGTTGTGGAATCAACAGAGTCTCAGTTTGTGAAATCTGTTTTGGGATAAGGTGAAGGAGAAGAAGAAGTAATTCAATAAGAATACTTAGGTCGACAGAGAAGGCTCTCACGAACAATCATTACCAAATTTCCCCTTTTTCTTGCTAAAAGCTGTTGATAATCTTACACATACCGTAGAAGTTTGTAATCACACTAAATATCAATATCTCGCATCAGGATTAGCCCTTTTGTAAGTGTTGGAAGAGGGAAATGATAATAACAGGGAAAGCATACTCCTTCAGAGCGGAGTTTCCAGAAATGTATACTGCCTTATGGAGCATTTAACGCTGTTTCCAAATCTGTTTTCGATATCTGCAAAGCGCTTCTGGAAGGGAAGTTATGGGAATTTCTGAGGTAAATAATCAAGGGTTCTAAGGTAAAAGGTTAAAGTAAGAACAAGTGTTGAGGTCTTTCCGGCGCTTCCAAGCTATAGTGACTAGCATAAGTTTATTAGACTAAAGGTATTGACTGCATAAAGCGCCCTGACAGTAATCATGGTCATTTGAATCACGGACTACAGTTCTAAATCATTTCAAGCTTCAACATATGCCATCCTTTGAGCAGGGAATCATAAGCGGTAATAAACAGTTCCAAACCTGCCTGAAATGAGAACGATACGAAATAGCATGTAATATGAAAGCTTTTGTGAACTAGAAGCGAAGAATGAATCTTGTTTTCACTGAATTTCACAACAATGAGTAGTTTTTTGTATCTGTCTGAGTTGTTACTAACACGGATCCGATTGTCTTACATATTCTATCTGCACCATACCTACTTACAAATGCTAATTGTCTATAACATGCCACTCAACTTAGTTTTTCTCGAAGATATTGAAAATAAATTGTGATGTTTTTACTTATTGCATGGTATTAATTCCTGACATCCTCGTGATCTCCGTTGGAAAAACGGTGGTTACTCGTTAATTATCAAATCTAGTGTCTCATTTTTGAATTGCGACTGTGGGGTCTTTTGATGATTTTTCAGATCTGTTCAGTTAGTGTTCAGTGTCAATCAGTATTTGGATTACCACTGTTCTTTTCTTGTTTTGTGCTTTATGTAGAAACCAGTGCTTCACCTCTGCTTCGCAGAGGTTCGCACTGGCTGTTATGAACCGTGGTAAACTCACTTTCTGAGAGCTTGTCTCTCAAGTCATGTTCGGTTGACTGCAACGTGAGAGCCGTAGTTAAAAATGAACCATACCATTATCTTAACCTCACATGATGTTTAGTATCGTAAATCATTCCTCACTGTAATTTCGTAACGGACAAACTCCACACAACTTCAGATTAAGCCGCTTATTATATGTCATGATGATGGGAATCTTCGAAGAAAGTGTTGAATTATATAATTCGATACAGCAAAATGAGGGTTTCTGTGGGTTATCTTACTTTAAAATTTGCTCTATCGATTTGCGACTTAATTACGACTTAATTACCTCAAAAAGTTCAGATAAAATTCCTGGGAATTAGCGGAAATGTCAGAAGTGATAAGCAGTAACGTACACCTGCACAATTATCTGACAGTATTCAAAAGGCTTTGGCTAGCAAATTTAAGCATTGAAACTTGCATACAATACTACCCCAGTCGCACGTAGCCGTGATTCTGTGGAAAAAAAAATAAGACGACTTGATTCAGTTTGAGCATGGCTTGTGTAGGTTCAACATAGTACGTTAGGAAGTTCTGCACTGTTTTCAAGCTGCGTCTTAGCTTTGCGAGATTAGAGGGAGTAAATGTGTCATTTCTACTCATCATCAACCATGGTATTTGAGCCCTCTTGAGCTAATCTAGGGTGAAAGGATGAATTCGAATCGTTAGACAAAGTTAGGAAAGCTCCCGCCATTTTATTTTGGAAATATTATAACGTCCTTACTATTTAATAACTGCTTTTGCTTTCCTGCACTCTGTCACCAGAAGAATGTCAGGAATGCTTGAAAAAAACATTCGCGTGCTTTTCTCGATCGTACAAAACTCGTAAAAATCATAATCTTGTGAGTGTCACATGGTCGACCAAAAGGGTTTCAGAGGGGGTTCTTGACCTAAACGGTGGGGATTGACACTCAGTTGACAACAAATATTCAACATAGAATTCGTTTTCTTCAGTAACACAATGATAGCGTGCATCGACCTGTCATTGAGCTGAGATGACCTATAGAGAAGCTGATTTCCACCTTTCTCAAAAGCAAACACGTTGCGTAGACTCAAGATGCTCCCTTTCATCGCTAGCTTGTAGCCCTACTAGCTTCCTGCTTTCTTGAACATTGCATAAAATTCTACATCCATTCAGTGGTAAGAATGAGAAGTTCAATACATCTAGGGATCGTGGACTTCCATATCTTGTACTTTACAGATGGGTAATTTCCATGGGTTCGTGTGCGAACGGTGGTGGATACTACCACTATTCCTACTCGGTGCTGAAAGGTTGTGATCGAATAATTCCCGTTGATATCTATATACCTGGATGCCCACCCACGGCAGAGGTGCGTCTCATTGTTGCAAAATCCCACAAGTACAACGATATGTATTGTGTTCTGATTACTACGTAAATATGCTCGTGATTATGAAAATAATCGTTTTGGCCAATGTTTAAGTAGCAATCTTGCTTTTTTTGTATCTAACAGCACTGTTTGCAAAATTCTGGGTTTGCATTTCAGGCGCTGCTCTATGGCGTTCTCCAGCTGCAGAAGAAGATAAAGCGGAAGCGTGAAGCTCAGCTCTGGTACAGGCGTTGAACAGACACGGCTAAATCTCTAAGCCGTTGTTATGTTGTACATTAGTCTCTTATTTTAGATGTACGTAGTACTTGGTAGTTGTAGAATTTTCGAGGGTGTAAACATTAACCAAATGTGTTGTTATTGGCAAAGTCATCGAAAACAGCACTGAAGGGTGTAATCCAGTAACTCCTGAACTACTCTCTATTGGATATGTTGGCTCATGCAAGGATAATCAAATTCAAAACCCGTAGTATCTTAAAAGCGTGAGCATGACATAGCACATTATTGTTTGTCCCTCAGCAGGTCCCCATAGATACTAGCGCTTGTACCTCTACTCCTTTTCGCTCCTGAAAGAAAACAAGTAGGCTGTTTTAGGTTGTGTCAAAAGAAGCAAAAGGAAGCAAACTAGGTGTGCGAACAGCTGTAAACTTTGATTCAAGGAGATTGGCGGCTGGAAGGTGGGACTGAGAGGCCTAAGCAAGGCTAGAGAATATTCAGAGAGCACACTGAGAGAGATTCAGACTGCGTCGCGGGCGCGAGAGGTGCCTTCCAGTCGCCAATCCTGTTTAGTCAAAGGGTACCGATGAGAGGTTTGCTGGAGACAGATGATATGTGGTTCAATTGAACAGTAGCTGGTCTCAAAAACAGATCAGATTCGAATTCTAACAAACGGACATTTCTGACCATTACATCAAAATTCTTTGGAAAGTTCAGTGAAGTTATACTTGGCTCCCGGAACTGACGACCTCCGGTACTGTTTTGGGTGTAGGATCGTCCAAAGACTATCCTGATGGTCAAGAATATTTCGAGCCGCTATGCTGTACAACAGTATCACGTAGTCGTAGTGATGTACAGGAAGTTCTTGTGCGTATTGCTGACTTAGAATGTGGAGTGAGCTCATGAAATGTAGTTGCTTTTGTGTGGTACAACTTCAACCCTTGCTGTGTTTGACGAGCAACTTCATCCGTGCCCAGAATACTTTTGCAATGGATAGCTTGACTACGACGTGTGGATAAACCCATGGCTTGTAGTCGCTTTTGTGTGGGGAGACTTCAATCCTTGCTTTTTGACGAGCAACTTCCTCCGTGTCGGTGAACAACTTCACCGTGAGTGTTCTGATGTAGACGGACTACTCTTGCAATGGATAGCTTGAAGACGACGTGCGGACAACCTCGCGCTTGTAGTCGTTTTTGTTTGAGGCCAATCCTTGCTGCAGTGTCTGACGAGCAGCTTCCTCCGTGCCGGTGAACAACTTCACCGTGAGTGTTCTGATGTAGACGGACTACTCTTGCAATGTATAGCTTGAAGACGACGTGTGGATAACCTCAGGGCTTGTAGTCGCTTTTGTGTAGGGCCAATCCTTGCTGCAGTGTCTGACGAGCAGCTTCCTCCGTGCCGGTGAACAACTTCACCGTGAGTGTTCTGATGTAGAACTACTCTTGCAGTGGTTAGCTTGACTACGTCGTGTGGATAACCTCAGGGCTTGTAGTCGCTTTTGTGTAGGGCCAATCCTTGCTGCAGTGTCTGACGAGCAGCTTCATCCATGCCGAAGAGCCACCTCAGAGCAAAGTTCTCCTGATGACTGGCTCAACCCACTGTAGATGATAGTGCGCAGTTGTGGCTCTGAGTCGCTCTGGTGGAGAACAACCTCACCGTGAGTGTTCTGACGTAAACGAACTACTCTTGCAATGGATAGCTTGACTACGACGGTGGATATAATCACGGCTTGTAGTCGCTTTTGTGTGGGGCGACTTCAATCCTTGCTGTGTTTGACGAGCAACTTCCTCCGTGCCGGTGAACAACCTCGGAGCAAAGTTTTTATGATGAGTGGCTCAACCCACTGTAGCTGATACTGCGCAGCTGTGGCTCTGACTCGCTGTGGTGACAACTTCACCGTGAGTGTTCTGAAGTAAACGAAGTACTCTTGCAATGGATAGCTTGACTACGACATGTGGATAACCTCGCGGCTTGTAGTCGCTTTTGTGTGGGGCGGCTTCAATCCTTGCTCTGTTTGACGAGCAACTTCCTCCGTGTCGGTGAACAACTTCACCGTGAGTGTTCTGATGTAGACGGACTACTCTTGCAATGGATAGCTTGAAGACGACGTGCGGACAACCTCGCGCTTGTAGTCGTTTTTGTTTGAGGCCAATCCTTGCTGCAGTGTCTGACGAGCAGCTTCCTCCGTGCCGGTGAACAACTTCACCGTGAGTGTTCTGATGTAGACGGACTACTCTTGCAATGGATAGCTTGACTACGACGTGTGGATAACCTCGCGGCTTGTAATCGCTTTTATGTGGGGCGAATTCAATCCTTGCTCTGTTTGAGCAACTTCCTCCGTGCCGGTGAACAACTTCACCGTGAGTGTTCTGATGTAGACGGACTACTCTTGCAATGTATAGCTTGAAGACGACGTGTGGATAACCTCAGGGCTTGTAGTCGCTTTTGTGTAGGGCCAATCCTTGCTGCAGTGTCTGACGAGCAGCTTCCTCCGTGCCGGTGAACAACTTCACCGTGAGTGTTCTGATGTAGAACTACTCTTGCAGTGGTTAGCTTGACTACGTCGTGTGGATAACCTCAGGGCTTGTAGTCGCTTTTGTGTAGGGCCAATCCTTGCTGCAGTGTCTGACGAGCAGCTTCATCCATGCCGAAGAGCCACCTCAGAGCAAAGTTCTCCTGATGAGTGGCTTAACCCACTGTAGATGATAGTGCGCAGTTGTGGCTCTGAGTCGCTGTGGTGGAGAACAACCTCACCGTGAGTGTTCTGACGTAAACGAACTACTCTTGCAATGGATAGCTTGACTACGACGTGTGGATATAATCACGGCTTGTAGTCGCTTTTGTGTGGGGCGACTTCAATCCTTGCTGTGTTTGACGAGCAACTTCCTCCGTGCCGGTGAACAACCTCGGAGCAAAGTTTTTATGATGAGTGGCTCAACCCACTGTAGCTGATACTGCGCAGCTGTGGCTCTGACTCGCTGTGGTGACAACTTCACCGTGAGTGTTCTGAAGTAAACGAAGTACTCTTGCAATGGATAGCTTGACTACGACGTGTGGATAACCTCGCGGCTTGTAGTCGCTTTTGTGTGGGGCGGCTTCAATCCTTGCTCTGTTTGACGAGCAACTTCCTCCGTGTCGGTGAACAACTTCACCGTGAGTGTTCTGATGTAGACGGACTACTCTTGCAATGGATAGCTTGAAGACGACGTGCGGACAACCTCGCGCTTGTAGTCGTTTTTGTTTGAGGCCAATCCTTGCTGCAGTGTCTGACGAGCAGCTTCCTCCGTGCCGGTGAACAACTTCACCGTGAGTGTTCTGATGTAGACGGACTACTCTTGCAATGGATAGCTTGACTACGACGTGTGGATAACCTCGCGGCTTGTAATCGCTTTTATGTGGGGCGAATTCAATCCTTGCTCTGTTTGAGCAACTTCCTCCGTGCCGGTGAACAACTTCACCGTGAGTGTTCTGATGTAGACGGACTACTCTTGCAATGTATAGCTTGAAGACGACGTGTGGATAACCTCAGGGCTTGTAGTCGCTTTTGTGTAGGGCCAATCCTTGCTGCAGTGTCTGACGAGCAGCTTCCTCCGTGCCGGTGAACAACTTCACCGTGAGTGTTCTGATGTAGAACTACTCTTGCAGTGGTTAGCTTGACTACGTCGTGTGGATAACCTCAGGGCTTGTAGTCGCTTTTGTGTAGGGCCAATCCTTGCTGCAGTGTCTGACGAGCAGCTTCATCCATGCCGAAGAGCCACCTCAGAGCAAAGTTCTCCTGATGAGTGGCTCAACCCACTGTAGATGATAGTGCGCAGTTGTGGCTCTGAGTCGCTGTGGTGGAGAACAACCTCACCGTGAGTGTTCTGACGTAAACGAACTACTCTTGCAATGGATAGCTTGACTACGACGTGTGGATATAATCACGGCTTGTAGTCGCTTTTGTGTGGGGCGACTTCAATCCTTGCTGTGTTTGACGAGCAACTTCCTCCGTGCCCGGACTACTCTTGCAATGAATAGCTTGACTACGACGTGTGGATAAACTCATGGCTTGTAGTCGCTTTTGTGTGGGGCGACTTCAATCCTTGCTGTGTTTGACGAGCAACTTCCTCCGTGCCGGTGAACAACCTCGGAGCAAAGTTTTTATGATGAGTGGCTCAACCCACTGTAGCTGATACTGCGCAGCTGTGGCTCTCACTCGCTGTGGTGACAACTTCACCGTGAGTGTTCTGAAGTAAACGAAGTACTCTTGCAGTGGATAGCTTGACTACGACGTGTGGATAACCTCGCGGCTTGTAGTCGCTTTTGTGTGGGGCGGCTTCAATCCTTGCTCTGTTTGACGAGCAACTTCATCTGTTTCCGGACTACTCTTGCAATGGACAGCTTGACTACGTCGTGTGGATATAACCATGGCTTGTAGTCGCTTTTGTGTGAGGCGACTCCAATTCTTGTTGCGGTGCCTGACAAGAAGCTCCATCCATGCCGGTGAACAACTTCACCATGAGTGTTCTGATGTAGACGGACTACTCTTGCAATGGATAGCTTGACTTCGTCGTGTGGATATAATCACGGCTTGTAGTCGCTTTTGTGTGAGGCGACTCCAATTCTTGTTGGGGTGCCTGACAAGAAGCTCCATCCATGCCGGTAAACAACTTCACCGTGAGTGTTCTGATGTAGACGGACTACTCTTGCAATGGATAGCTTGAAGACGACGTGTGGATAACCTCGCGCTTGTAGTCGTTTTTGTGTGAGGCCAATCCTTGTTGCGGTGCCTGACAAGATGCTCCATCCATGCCGGTAAACGACTTCACCGTAAGTGTTCTGACGTAAACGAAGTACTCTTGCAATGGATAGCTTGACTACGACGTGTGGATAACCTCGCGGCTTGTAGTCGCTTTTGTGTGGGGCGGCTTCAATCCTTGCTCTGTTTGACGAGCAACTTCATCTGTTTCCGGACTACTCTTGCAATGGACAGCTTGACTACGTCGTGTGGATATAACCATGGCTTGTAGTCGCTTTTGTGTGAGGCGACTCCAATTCTTGTTGCGGTGCCTGACAAGAAGCTCCATCCATGCCGGTGAACAACTTCACCATGAGTGTTCTGATGTAGACGGACTACTCTTGCAATGGATAGCTT